AGATCACTCACCAAAGTTATCCATCATTTCCACTCAAGCAGAGTTCCTCCCTCTTTGTGAGACCCAAATTTGGCATAAGATTTCACTTACTATTCCACTTGGGGATCATATAACCTTTGAAAAATGAAATTACTTTTAAGAAGTGTCAAAGAGTTATTTTCTATTTTGCTATTGATGGAGAGCACCAGCATACAGCCCAGTTGAAGTTTCCCTTTGCTCTCATGTACGTCTCTGTGTTGGGCTTTAAATCACTTTCCTGAAACTCCTTTGTTTCCTCTTTCTGTTCAGTCTGTAGTATTCTCTTATAACAATATTGCTTATGTTTCTCTCTTTGTTGCTTTTCAGCATCCTTCTCTTACTTATTCTTGGATTTTCTCATAAAAGCCTATCTTCTTAACACAAAACAAGAGTTCTTGCCTACTCCTTATTTGGGTTGTGGAACCCTTTGACAGTCTAGTGAAGCCTATGGACTGCTCAGAATAATGTTTTTTTAAAATAATTGTGAAATTTCAGTTACAGTGTTAGTAAGAAATATATATATATATATATATTTTTTTTTTTTCTTATCTAGTTTCATAGAGCCCCCTAGAATCTATTCAAAGATCCCTTGGAGGTCCATGGACCCCAAGTTAAGTACTCCTGGTATAAAATGTCATCCCCCCTCCCCCTTTACCTACTACATTTCCTGTAAGTAGAGTAACATATTGATATTCCAGTCATGAGTGTCATCACATCAAGTCTCAGTGATACTTTTGAGGTCAAAATTGGCTCCTTGTCTTAGGATCTCTAGTTCATCTTGAATGTTGACCATACTTTGTGCATCTGTGTACAGATATTTGAGCCTTTGACTTTTACTACTGGTTTTTTTTTTCCCTTAGATTTTTGTCTCCTGTGAATTTACAGGTACCTTTTTAATCTAATACCTCCTCTCTAACTTGATGGATCTATATTGTCAGTTTTCTTTTCCCCCTTCCTTCTTGGTTTAAATCTCTTTTAATTCAAGTTGCAAGACTCCATATACGTATATCTCAAAAACTCTTGTTGGACGTACTCTATGCCTAGACAAGAGTCTGTCATTTCTGTATTTCATGCTATAGTCCACAAATTCAAATCTCATTTTTAGACACCATTTCCTTAACCCATTGTTCATTTCCCTGGTAGGCAAGTCACTTTTTTGACCTCCATACTGAATGGACAGGTTTTGTATGTTTTGATTCACCAACATGTTTTGAAGCCATTTGAAAATGAAAATCACTTCTGACACTTTGCCAAATGGCTTAACATGAACAAAACAATACAAAAGAAGATACTTTTTTCTTAATAAGTACTAAGAAAAAATGAATTAAAAATAAGTGAATTTTTTAATCTCACTTGTACTATCAAGATTTCTCTTATTGTAGATAATTTATTATAAAGCGTTTGCTTAATCATTTCAAAAGAGCGTAATTATTCAAAATCCATAATTTGCTAAGTTTTGGAAAGAGGGAAAACTTTTATTAAGTCATATGAGGACACATGGAATAGACTTGTCTTTTTGTTCATTAAGATACCTAAAATTGTTAATTCTGACTGCACTGAGCCAAAGGAGATTAAAATAAATGGTTCATTTTTTTAAATTAAAAATTGAAAAAAAAATAACTGCATCTTTTTCCTTAAAACATCTGCATAGTTCACGGAAAACTAATAAGCACAATATAGTATTTATATATTGCTACATATTTCTTGGTATAACATAGCTAGAGGTTAGACATATTTGCCTTTTTTTTAGACACTGCCTCATTAGGGGCCAACTTCAGGGCAATGAATGTGGGAATAATATATTGCTGTGTATTCTTTACTCCTACTCTTCTCCCCTCCCTTCCAATTCTCTGGGCATAAAGCAGATTCAGAAATACATATTAGACCATGCTGTTTGTGTAACCATCCACCATCTAAAGAACGTCTTCCAAATTGTTGCTCACCACAGGAAAACATTATGCTAATCTTGGCTTAAAATATTCTCAGGATGAATGACTGATTATTAAGAAAATTTCATGTTGCCATGGTACTTGAGATATGTAGGTGGAGGGTCATGCAGTTGTGCTTTGAATTCTGCAAGTTTCCAGGTTATAAGCTTTCATTCTCATTGTTTTTAAATTTTTGTTTAGTTTTAAATACATTGATATGAAAACAGAAAAACCAGACTAAAGCTGAGGCAGTTTCCTCTTTTTTTTTCTCCTCTCTAGCCATCCCCCCACCTTCTATGCTACTCATGATTATTCTCTATGTGAGGAAAAGGGGCTGGAAAGCCCTAGCCTTCAAAACAGTGGCCAGTTATAAGGCCAAGGCCTTTTTTCTTTTTTCCTTTTGGAGGACTGCTACTCCTCCATAAATCAATTACACAAAATTTTAAAAAACAAGCATCTTATTGCTAGTCATTTTAGATAAATAAAAATAGGATATTTACCATTTTTTATGGCTAAGACCAAGAAAGTAATCATTTATTTCTATAAAGAGAGACAGGGCCCTTTGCTGTCATGACAATAGCATAGGGCAAATATCACTGGGTCTGCCCCTTCCTGCCAGTGTTGCTAAGTGCTTACTTAACCTTACTTAAGCTTCAGGGCAATTTGGCACAAGCACCGCCCCCCCCCCCAAACAACAGTATTGATTAGGATCTAGTCTCACCACGTACAGCTGTGTTCAAATTAACTGGGATAAGGGGCAGCTAGATGGTGCAGTGGATAGAGCACCGGCCCTGAATTCAGAAGGACCTGAGTTCAAATCTGGCCTCAGACATATAACACTTACTAGCTGTGTGACCCTGGGCAAGTCACTTAACCCCTTTGCCTAGCCAAAAAAAAAAACACCAAAAACGAATTAACTGGGACAAAGTAAAATAATTAAGGTTATTGGTAGTAAACTTTAGAACTTTTACATCTTTTTAAAAAATAACCTTTTCTTATGTGTTGTGCCCTCTGTTTACTGTCACCACTTTTTACGTTATGTGATATTGAGGTCACAGGATTTTGACACATTCTGTAATTTTTTTATCATGAGACTAGCCATCATATTGGCTATTAAACATATTGTTTATAACCAGTCCAGTTTTCAAGCCTACCTTTGGTTATAATCTATAGTTTTTCAATTATAACCTATACTTTGGTTATAACCTATAGTTAAATCAGACGAGTTTCCAAGCTACACTTCTGTCTCTCTTTTGGATAAGTTTCTTAACCATTAGGATGTGGATGGTAATGCTGCTGTATCCTATCTCAATTTGGGAATTTCTTTAATTAATTCTGTTTTCTCAATATATCAGTATATTTCTCTGAATTCATCTTTTCTTCAGTGGGGACAAGACTGGCCCACCTGAAGTAAAGGAAAAAAAATCCCCCTAAACATTTTTGGAATCAATGTTCTATTGTCTGATGAAGATACTCAGGTCTTAAAGCTTATCTGAACATCTTTAACAATTGTTTGAATGGAGACATGAATGAAAAAGTGAGCTTCATCAGTAAAAATTACCTTTTACAATCTCCAGCATTGTAGTCTTTATATTGTCTTTCAAGTCAAAGCAATTTTTTTTTCTTCATGGTGAGTTAACAGCTTTAAAAAATAAACAATAACAAAAATTGGTCTTCTCGCTGTTCTTACAACCCCAAGCTGCCTGTACTTCACTGGAATGAATAAGTGACAGCCCCTTCATCTGCCGGGCTCCTCTGAAGGTTTTTGCTTGTTTACTGATGATTAATTAGGCTATATTTCATCAATATCATGATAGTTCTTGGTGTTCAGTTTGGTGTAGATCTTTTATAACTGATCATGTTTTATTGTAGGCTTGAATAATCCTTGAAGCACTTGACTTTACTCATCAATATCCACTGTATTATCTCTAACAGTCACTGAAATATGCTCTTTAAGAGCTATAGCTATTGAACATTTCCTTGGAGTTATAGCATTCTTCAAACCCACAGAATTAAAAGCACGACAAAAGGGTAATGCCACACTGTGTATTGAGTGCTATCTTCCACTCACCTGACACATTGTTCTAAATAAAGGTGGGGAACCAGTACAATCTTTCTTTATCTCGTCAGGGTTAGATATTCTGAATCAATTTAGTGTCAGAAGCATGCACACATGACTATTGCTGTCACAAAATGACAATGCAACAATATCACATTCAAAAAGTGTACAGTGACACTTTACCACAACTAGACATGGTTGCTTTAAATTAGGTGGCTAGGTTGACAATATTGAGGGAAGAAAAAATTACTGCCAAATTACCACCAGGAATTTGAGGAAGAGGAAGAGGGAATTGGGGGGAAATTATATAACCAATGTAGTTTATTCTTGCAAGGTTACTGTAAACATTTTACAACTTAAAACATCACTCTAGCCTAGTGTCCCCTAACCCCACATAAACATGTCAATGGATCCCTGCAATGCTAATCAGGGTAGGATTAATTTGAACTAGTATACCTTTAGGTATACTACACAGACCACCATCAAATGTAACAGTTTCACAGACAACTCCAAACTTGAACACCAATGTGATTCCAATGCAGGGGCTAAATATTCATCCGGTACAGTCTGTACCAACAGAGCAGATAGGAACCATAAATCAAATAGCAAAACATGCAATTAGAACAGACTGTCAAAGAAGATAGCAGAGAAAATTCAGCAACAAAAACCTCAGTATCCATATATGAGTAGATATAATCACCCATAGACTCTTTATATCTTTTTTTAAATGGATTTTACTGATATCTTATTTTTACCCACCCCACTCCATAGCCCTCTCCCTTTCTCTTTCTGGAGAGCCATCCCTTATAACAAGGAGAGAGAGAGAGAGAGAGAGAAGCAAGATTGGTTAATAAACTAAAAAATGAACATTATATGTAGTATTCCATGGCCATGGGCCCTCTGTCCTCCCTGCCCCCCCAACCTCTTCAAAGGCATGAGGGAGGTATCTTTTCGTATCTCTTTTTGGGAGCATCAATTTTATCCTTCATAATATTGCAGCATTATTTTTTGTTTTGTTTTGTGGCTGTAGTTCTTTCCATTCGTATTGTTCTAGTCATTGGCTATCTTAACCTCTGCTTACTTCACTCCACATCATTTCATGTAAGTCTTTTCCCTATATCACAGTAGTCAATTACATTTGTGTACCACATTTGCCCATAGACTTTTATGGCAGGGATGATGGGTGCTACTCCTCAGGTGATTTCTGTTCTGAAGTGAGTTGTATAGAGAGGAATACCTCTCCAACTTGGTCAACTGGCAATGTTTTGCTGTTTATTGGCTCCACATCTCTCAGCTCTCTTGGCACAGATGGTTCTGGGTCTCCTTTATTGCTACCATTCCACTCTGCTGTCATCTGCTGGTCTCCACTCTCTTACTCCTGATTTCCACCTTCAAAAAAAGTTCCGATTAAGAAGGTACATGCAGTGAACCAAACAGAGATAATATGCAACATCTTGCATCTCATGTTGAGGTAATATACAAAGTATACGTTATATACATTTGACCAGATGGACACCATCTGGTAGCATGTGTAACTTCTTCACCTGTTATCCCCCAGAGTATCTTTCATTCTAGTTATTAAGCCAAGAATCCTGGCACTCTTACAGTATCCTGTTGTTAATTTTATTCCTTTGGTATTCTTATATCCATTAACTCGCCTTTCCACATTTGAGCCTATAGATAGCCAATGATGACTATTGATGCCTCCTGCCCCTGTCTTACCCTGTAGATAACCTCTGCTAAATTATTAGCCCCCTTTGAGGCATTTATCTGTAGAGGAGTTAAGAAAATAGATGGCTCATCTTTTATTTTTGAATACCAAAGTGTAATTTGGTATTATGGTGTTCTTCAAAATTCATCATCTTTAGTAAGTATTTATTTTGTCTCCTATGACCAAAACACTGTAATAGAGACTAGGAGTGAAGAAATTTTAAAATGGCAACACTTTCTCTCAAAGAGTTTACATGCTAATGGAGGAAGGGGAGAGTGGATAGTATGTGGAATGTGCGCATATACGAATAATAGGTAGAGGGCAAAAACAAAATCCAGACAAATTTAGTTAAGAATATCAGAGGAGAAGCACTTTCTTTTGGGACAAGGATCAGGGAGGTTTTAAGGAAGAGGTGAAACCCCAGCTGATCATGGAGGAAGGAAGAGAGGGACTCAGAAAAGCAAAGATGGAAGAGGGAATGCTTTCCAGACATGAAGATCACCTGGGCAAATGCCTAGAGTTGGAAGATGGAATGCTAAGTCCAGGGAACATCTAGTCATCCACTTGATTTGGACTAGAGAGTATGTGAATCAGAGTAATGTGAAAGAAGGTTGGAAAGGTATGTTGGAGACAGATTGTGGAATGCCTTGTATGTCAGCACAAGGAGGTTATATTTTATCCTCTAAGAGAATTGGTGAAGCATTGAGCAGAGAATGGAGAGAGGCTGTGGATATAAAATTGACATTATCTGACACCTGATTAGATGACTTGGAGGAGACCATAGAGAGGAACGAATCAAAGTTCAAAATGGCACTTTGGATGGTGCCCTCGACAGAAATATGGAAAATAGGAAGGGAAAAGAGAGAAAGGGGAAAAGAATAGAAAGAGAAAAGAATCATTTATATAGAGCCTACTGTGTGCCAGACACTGTGCTAAGTGCTTTTAGAAATACCTCATTTTATCCTCACAACAACCCTATAATATAGGTAATATTTGGGTTTCAGTTACTTACCAAGGGTCCCACAGTATCTGAAGCTGGATTTGAACTAAAGTCTTCTTAACTCCAGGCTAGCACTCTAACCACTGTGCCACCAACTACCTCATAGAGGAAGAAAAATATTATTGGGGAAAGAAGAGTTCAGTTTGAAACATGATAAATTTGAAGTGTCAGAATAACATCCAAAGGCAGATGTTTGCCAGGGTGTTGGAGATTTACAGCTGGAGTGCAAAGGAGAGATGGGGGTGTAGTCTTAGATTTGGGAATCTGTATACTGGTGACAATTGAACCCATATAAACAGGGGAGATCACCAAGGTAGAGAGTATAAAAAGAGGACAACACCTTGGATGGGGAAAGGGAAAACATATACTTGGGGACCAGAGAAGGGATGAGCCATTAAAGAGGTAGTCCAAGAAGAGTTGGGGAACTTGGTGAGAATGCTATCATAGAAGCCAAGATGAGAGAAAATATTCAAGAGAATAGAGAGTGGTCAGCACCATCACATCCTATACAAAGGTCAAGAAGGAAGAAAACTGACACAAGGCTATCAAAGTTAGTACTAAGAGGTCTTTTGGTGACTTTTTGAGAGAGCAGATTCAGTGGAGTGGTGGGGTTTGAAGGAAGATTATGAGATTGCTGTGTGATGGTGATGTAATGAATGAGTAAATGAATAATAATAGTAATAATAAGTAATGAGTGTAAATGAGTGAGTAGAGGAAGTGAGGTCAGTGTGAGCTCTTCATCTAGGAGTAGAAGGGATGATAATTTCAGGTAGTGCCAGGGTAAAGAGAATGTTTTGGAAGGGGAAGATAGACTCAAGTAGAGTTGTAGGAATAATCCAGTAGAAAAGAAGATACTGAAGAAGAGGGAGAAGGAATAATCAAAGGGCAAAGATTGTTCATGAATATGAAGAAACTTGGGGTTTAGAAATTTCCTTTGAAATACTAGAAGAGGGGTCGATTAATTTTTTAGCTGTTGCCAGGAAATTCTTTTAACAATGACTTATTGTTTTGCCTCAGCCTTGTTCTTTGGGAGATGAGGCTTCTACAAAAGTCTTGCTTTTGTAACGCCGATGACATAGAGGTAACCTTGAATTTCATTGGAATAGAGTACCGATTCTTGCAAGTTTTATCCACCTAGAAAGGCTTTAAGTACAGTCTAAACAGCAGAAATACAGACAAGTTCATCACTTTAAAGTTTAGCTATTACATATCAATTCTTTGACCATTGCAATCCATTGAACAGATGAAAACATATAATGGCTTTTGGGTCCCTTCAACCTCCCCAACTTACTCTCTTTCTCCTTCTCCAGTGGTAGAGTGGAGGACAAAGGTGAGAGAACTTCAAGAATTATGCAGTTTTTATTACGTCTTCAGACATTTTCTCCATGAGGAACTTATTGAAAGATGAGGACAAGAATCACACAAGCTGGAAAGGCAAGGATGGGTTAGAATACCCATCCCTATACTGATGCCATGTATCTACTGAAGAAAAATTGAGTCTCATTTGCCAAATTCTAAAGGTGTTATGCTTAGAATAATCACTTTTGTAATTGCCTTTTTCTTCCCCACCTTCAAATAAATCCAGTTATTTGGACAACCAAAATAAAATAGGCAAAATGGAGGGGTAAGGAGGGAGAACTTCAGGAATAAATCAGCTATGCAAGCCTCTTCAGCTCCTCAGTAGGATAAATAACTTACAACAGGGCACGAGGGCACAGTTGAGGTTTTTTTTTCTGGCTTGCTGTGGGTGGGGCAAACCTAAATGCATAAGATACTTGCCATAGTACAGCAAAGTTGAAAAAAATAGAGGAGAGACATTATCTACCTTTACTTTAGGTAGTTGTTCCTGTCATCAACAGTAGGTTCATATCAGAATTGAGCTAAGTTGTTTTGTTTGTTTGTTTGGGTTTGTTTGGGGGTTTTTTGAGTGGGGCAAGGCTGGTGAATTTTACAGAGAAGGAAGGACATTAATAATGAAAACCTTTTTGTTCCCTGACACCTCTCTAGAATGTTTTCAATTATACAATCAAAATACTTTTGAAAACTATTTTGGCCCTAATGGTGTCCATGAATAACTGGCAAGGCTTAAAAAAAATTTAAATGTTAACTGACAGAGGTATCAATCCAGTGAACTGTTATTTTTTGTAAAATGATAGGCACAGAGAAATAGCATAACATCTTGGAAATTGAGAGGGAGCAGATTCGATTATGTCTTTAATCAATCTTCATGACAGTGTTAAAGGTTATTTTCAACATTAGTTTTTGTTTCCAACATGATCTTTGTTGATTCATCTGGTTGCCCCAGAAACGTCTCTCGTCTTTCCTTTTTTGATTGTCTAATCCAGCAAAATGGTGATTATCTGCCCTAAGGATTAAAAATTAATAATTTCTTTGCATATGGAACATGCAACTGCTATTATGTTCTCTCTGCTACAATTAACCTTAGCCTCCTCTTATAATATTTTCCTCATTTGTTGAATGGAATAATTAACTTTTTCATAGATGAACTCTATGGACCAATTAATGTTATGTGGATTCCAGAGCACAGTGAAACAATTAATATTGGTATTTATTTGCTAGTTATTGTTGACTTGTGGACAGTAATTTTTAAAGTCTAGGTTAAAGAGTTTTTAAAATAATTCCTGTATAACAGCAGATCTTACTAGTCTTTCTAACTTCATTCTCATGATGAGTCTTTCTCAAAAACAAACAAAAACATATAGCTTTACTGTTCAGATAAAACTAAATTAGAATGAAATAATCCAGAGAAGGAGTCCAGAGGAATTGTCACTTCCCTGGTCAGTGCTATGAAGGCTACCTACCCAAATGAAAAAAAAAATTGGTTATCTGCAAATTGCAAACTCCGATCTAAACTGCCACATTCTATCTCTTTTGTGTTAGATTTCTTCCTACCTATCTGGAATTATTGTTTCCCCCAGAGGCATAAGCTTTCACTTTCCTAGCATTTTTGAAAGTCTCACACACCCAGCATCACAATTTCTGCTAGTTAAAGCCACTTAGCAACAAGAATTATATTTAACCTATTTCTGTCTAACACTCTAAAGAGATTCAGAGCTGCCAGTGGGTTTTTAAGATGAGGAACAATGTGGTTCACTGGGCTAACTAGTGTAATGAAAGAGAAGTTGTTTATGTGACCTTCCTCTGTGTTTCCTCTACTATCCCTCCCTCTAATGGGGTCAACTAAAATAACTTATCTGAGGGAGGAATTAGGAGAAATATATTTTAAAAAAAAGAAGAAGAAGAAGATTAAGCACATTGCCAAATCGTGGTGCCATGAAAATGCTAAATGACTAAGAATTTTGTTAGAGCATTCATATTATAATGCAGTGTGTTCAGGAAAATATACAGTCAAAATAGGGAGATTAGGAAAATCAAGTTAAAATAATTGTGAGTTTATGTTGCAATGAAAGGAAAACTTAATCAAAAAAGACCCGCTTTGAGCTGATTAGAAAGGCTCTCCATCTCTTCTTCTCTTCACTAGTATACTGTGGAGAAAAAAACACATACACTGGATTTTTAAGGCAATGGGATCTTTTGGGAATCTATGTAGATAGGTTCTTGTACCTGAAACCACTTTTTTTAAACCCCTGTGATCAGAGTTCTAGCAGATTCACATGAAATACTGAGCAATGCTCATGCCATTCCAAACTGTGATTCTTGTCCATGTCTTTCAATGAATCTCTCATGGAGAAATGTTTCATGAGATAGTATAAACTGCTTAATCCTTAAAGCCCTCTCTCCTTTGTCCTTTACCCTACCACAGAAGGAGGAGGAAAAGTAAATTGGGGAAGTTGAAAGGAACAGAGAGCCATTATATGTGATGGAGAAATTCATGGTGATCCTAAGTTTGATGCAGCATGTGGGCAATAATGACTAATGCTAAAGAAGAAACAGATGAGATATTTTCAAAGAAATGTGTGATTGATAAAAGTGGTAGGCCATACAAGAGTCAAAATGCAGGATAACAGGTGGGAATCCCAAGTGTCATATTGATAACCATAAAATGTAGAGAAAGGCCTCCACTGCATTGGGTAGATCTTCTAGGGAAAATTATGGAAAGACATGGAGCAGAACCATATGGGTTGAAGACATGTGGAAGAATTGTAAGACTTACCATTGCAGTAAGACACACAAACATTAGGTCATAGATCCTTTAGAATGCCATGTGCCTAGGAGGATATGAGACAAATAGCAACAACAGTAAAAGACAATTAATGTTTTTAGTGTAATAAGCAATATACACACACTAGTTATTTTTTCATATTCCCTATCCTTTGTTTTTATAAGACAGTACAAAGTGCCCACAAAAGCTCATGTGCTTCTTCAGCTCAATTCTATTATTCTGTTGAGAGAGACAGACAGACAGAGGACTATTGCCTTAAGTAACAAATTTGATTAAGAACCACATAAAAAACTGACTTTATATCCTATTTTCCACTTTAGGAAAATGCATAATGTTCACATGACCTGGTATTCACATTAAAAACAAGGAATCTGAAGTTTTATCCAATAACTACCAATGTAATTGAGGAAGAGAAGTGGGGAGAGGAGAAACAAAGAGGAAGGAAAAAGAAACAGAAAAAACAGGAAAGAAAGAATAACAGATGAGTGTGGAATGAATGAAGGAAGAAGAAAAGAGTAGAAAGCAATGAAAATTGGGAGTGACATACTACTTCCTTCAAAGAAGTAGATCTTCCACAGGTGTGGAATATTAATAGAACAACAGATTTTTTTATATACTAGTTTGCTTTGTTTTTTGTTTTCCTATTTTAATACTTTGTTATAAGGGATGTTATCAGTGATGTGGGGTAAGAATACAGGGGAAATCCAGACCACATAACAACAAAAGATAGCAAAATCTATTAAAAAATAAAACGAGAGAAAAGGCTCTCTAGGTTTGGAGGTAAGATTGTCTTCAGTGTTATCAACTTTGCTCTTTTGCCTTTTAAAGTTGAAGAATTGATTAAACATCACTCAGAGCTCCTTCATTGCTCTAATCCTTAAGCTCTAAGAGATCAAATGAATGCTAAGTTCCACAGTCCTACTTTAATATATAAATTCTTCAATAGCAGTAGACTGTAAAACACTATGAAAATGCAAGTTATTGTTATTATTAATGACACAAAATGTGGGTACACATTTGTGATCTAGTCCATCCCCATTCCCTTATTCTTCAGGGTTTCGGAAAAAAAGGGAACAAAAATTAAATTCTATGGAAAACTAGTTTCTTATAATGCTAGCATGTTTTTAAAAGTATTCTTCCTTGTTAAGATTTTTGCTGACATCTCAAGCAACAGCATTCTCTGCTTTTTGATATATACAAGTTTCCGGAAACATATGTTTTTGTCATATTGCAGTATGGGAAGTGAGTATTTTAGGATATAAGTTCTCCCTTATTCTTTGTTAGGGAAAATCTGTACATATAAATTTCAGTTTCTCAGCACAAAGTTGTAAGAAAAAAAAATCTGTTTGCCAAATCAGTGATAAGACATGAGTACCTAAGGTACAATTTCACTTCTCTTTCCACAACCACAGAACATAAATTGAGAACCTTGGCTGGGTAATCAGATTTAGGCATAGCATGGTATAAGCCAAAGCTGTCATAAGGTGATGTTTTCTCCTTCCTGCCTTCCTCCTACTCACTTCCTTCTCTCCTTTACTTCCCTCCCCCTCTTCTTTCCCTTTTTTGCTTTCTCTCCCCCTTTTTTGGTGCCTGTCAGACAAAATATATGAATAATTAAATAACCTTTCTTCTTGGCTTACCAGAAATCTTTCATTTCCAGTGAGAAGTAATGGTATCTGGTGGGAAAAAAAATTCATCCAGCAGTATGTAACAGTTATGATTGCTTACACATCTTGCTTATGCTTTCATCTAACCAAGATATGTAAGGAAAAGATTTTATTTTCTTCTGCGAGCCATCTGCTATGCATTGCCTGTCCTTTGGTAAATCAAACCTGATCAGAACAAGGAAGAAATAGAAAGTTAAGAGCTCCTAAATGAATAATAGCTAGGCTATTATAATGTCAGCATCATTCTGTTTTCAGATCTTAAGCTCAGAATCTTATCTTAAGGGTGTGAATATGTCTAGACTAAAATTTCAAATTGGCAGCCTCTGAAGAAAAAAGGAAGAAAAAATCCTGTACTTGGTAGTGTATTTGGGAGCTCTTAATCTTCATATAGTTATATAATAAAATAAAAATCGGTGCAGGCAATCTGTGACTTACAAAATGTTGTTGTTGTTCAGTCATGTCCGACTCTTTGTGACCCCATTTGAGGTTTTCTTGGCAAAGATATTGGAGTGGTTTGCCATTTCCTTCTCTAGTTCATTTTACAGATAAGGAAACTGAGGCAAATAGGGTTAAGTTACTTGTCTAGGAAATAAGTTTCTGAGGCCAGATTTGAACTCGGAAGATGTGTCTTCCTGATTCTAGTCCCAACACTCTACCTACTGCACCACCTAGATGTTATCTATCATATATTCAAAATATCTTTATCTAGTATTAATTACAAAATTATTGAGTTACATCTTCTCACGAAGATGAGTCTTCCTGATCCCAAGGCCAGTGCTCTATCCATTGAACCATAAAGCTGCCCCATGTATATGTACATGAATACATACATAGATTTTGTTGTATAGTTGTTTTTCAGTCATGTCTGCCAAGAAAACCCCAAATGGGGTCATGAAGAGTCAAAGACACTGGAGTGGTTTGTCATTTCCTTCTCCAGCTCATTTTACCAATGAGGAACGGAGACAAACAGGGTTAATTGATTTGTCCAAGGTCACACAGTTAATAAGTGTCTGAGGCTAGATTTGAACTCAGGAAGACGAATCTTCTTGACTCCAAGCCTGGCAGTCTATCTACTGCACCACCTAGCTGCCCAGACTTACAGATTAGTAAAGTTTCCAAAGTCTGTTCTTCACTTGAGAACTTGAAATGCAGTTTCCCATAAGAATTATTTTCTCCGTGGTTCCAAGGCTATCTCACAAAACCACGTTTAACAGATAATCTACTTGAAAATTAATACCAGCGGGGCAATTGGTAGTACTAGAGAGTGCTTTGCCTGAAGTCAGGAAGACCTGAGTTTAAATATGGCCTCAGACACTTACTAGCTGTGTGACCCTGGGCAAGTCACTTAAATGCTGATTGACTCCAAAAAAAAAAGGAAAGAAAATTAATACCAATGATATCTTTGAATTCTTCTTCATGGAACTGGTCATGGAAAGTCTAAGCAGGAATCTTCAGAACTTGAAGCCATAGTGATGGGGGTGTCATTCAACTCACAGGACAATTGCAGGAGAAAGCTGAGGGGCAGGGAAGGATTGTGTGTAGTGGAAGAAATTGGCCATTCATATCCATAATGTATGTACAAATTGTACTCCTAAGTTAGGATGCCTTATTTTTCCTTTCTTCTTTTCTTTTTTTTTGGAGGGAATAGATATAGAAGGCAGGGTCTAGACTATTCTTTGGTGTAGGAAACTGCCATTGCTGGTGCAGATCAGAAATAGTTCTCCAACTTATACACTCTTAGAGAGTTGATGTGTCTTTGAGAAGTAAAGTAACTTGCCCTGAGTCACATAAGCAAATTGTTCCAGAGTGAAGACTTGAACCCAGCTCTTGATCACTCTGAAACTACCTGCCTATCCACTAAGCCAACGGCCTCAGACTCAATCAAACTTGCAATCCTGCAAGATACATATTGACTTAGAAAACCACAAATTAACATTCCATATGTTGAATTTTTTTTTTATTTTGTGAAACATTTCCCAATTATATTTTAATCTGGTTCCAGCATATCAGGCATTTTGCTCCATGAGTTTGACACCTCTACTCTATGCCCTTTGGCATAAAAAGGAAATCATACCTTAGTTCAGAACTAGCAAAGCCTCCCCTTACTTTGAAGGTTAGAATTTTAAACATACAAATATTTAATATCATTAGTTTCAAATTTTAGCCTTCAAAGTAATGTGGGGAGAGGAGGCTTTGCTAGTGGTATGTTTTTCTGAGGTATGTTTTTCTATGTATGCCATTACTTTTTTTTAATTTTTACGCCTAGATCTATCTTAATTTCCTTTCTCTACTTTGCAATTACTAATTTCTTCTCCTTAGCTCTTCTCTTAAAACTGCTACTACCTTTGAATGTTCTCCCCGCCTTCTTTCTTTGCCTGTTCTATTCCTACTATTGCTTTGAAGCCCAACTTAGCTTTTATCTCTTCTTGGAAGATTTCCTGGTTCCCTGCCCCATTTTCCCCCATCCTTTTGACAACCCTTTAGTGTTGTCATGTAGCACTCATTTTATATTTTTCTTGTGGTATTGTATATTATAGTTCTGTGTATTTGTATCTTTCCCCTCTGTAATGATAGAAATCAATTTTATTAGAATGTGGATCACATCTATTTAAACTTCCTCCCCAGCCCAGCACCAATGTTTTGTGCACAGTAGACCCTAGATAAATGTTTGCTGAATGAATTCTCAAGACATCTTTACTTATACATTCATAACCACAGATCTTCCAGATGCAATTCCCACGCCATCAAGCTTCCATCTCAAAATAAAACATGCTTCCTGAGATTGTAGCGAAGGATGTTATTACTCTGAATTTAATTTTCACAATGTAGGACCAGATGCTGGGTAGCAGCTGAACCGTCTCTGTGCCTACCAACTGTGTTGTCACTGAATCTGAAGCCAGGCAGGTTTCCATTTCCCTGAAAAGAAGACTCAGTTTACTTTTGGATCAACCAAAAATGTACAGTGCCTTTTGTTTGTGAGAGGCTAATGAGACTTTTCATTAATTCCTATCTTGAAATTGTATGTATGGGGGCAGCTAGATGGCGCAGCGGGTAGAGCACCGGCCCTGACGTCAGGAGTACCTGAGTTCAAATCCAGCCTCAGACCAAACACTTGACACTTACTAGCTGTGTGACCCTGGGCAAGTCACTTAACCCCAATTGCCTAAAAAGAAAAAAAACCCTAAAAAAAATTGAAATTGTATGTATGGACAAATTTCACTAGCTCCAGTTTATGGCTAAACTTCAGATCTGGTGATTGTCTCTAAATAACAACTGTATAGTCTAAATTTATCAATAGTGGGGATCTGGAGATTATCTCTAGATAATGACCATATAGTTTAAATTTATCACTAGTGGACTAGGCTAAGGAAAATCATTATAACACAAGTCAATTAGAATTACTTTAATTGTGTAAGGAAATACTGTCAACCTCAGAAAAGATAATACCTAGACTCTTTTTTTTCCTAAATAAGAGAATTTTAAAATTGTGATTTTAAAATTATATTTTTAAAAGACATTTTATCCCAGGTATTTAGGATTTTGCAATTTGCCATAAATATAAACAATAGCCTTATATCCTTAGAATCAATCTAATAAGAATGACAAAACAGACCCACCAAAAACCAAGCAAAAAGAGCCAGTGACAAAAAGGCTGATTTGGTTTAAAAAAAAAAGGCTCTATTTTCTGACATAGTTATTTTTCAGATACACAAAGCAATGTGAAGTAGTGAAAAAAAAGCACAGATTTGGAGTCAGAACTGGTCATAAATCCTTCCTCTGCCATTTTGCAACCATGGACAAATCTATGGGTCTCATTTTTCTCATTTGTTATAAAAGGGGAATTAGACTAGATCTCCAGGATCCTTTCCAGCATTAAACCTAAGAGCCTATGATTTCTATTTTTCCATTCCTTTTAGTATTGTAACTGTAGAGTGATTTTAGCTATAAATTCAACATGAAACTACACTAACGAATATAAAGCCAAGTATTCACTGTGAGACATTTTTAAGTATGTTAGGAATATGCTCTTGATGAATTCACCTTTAGATGTGAATATCTACAAGAACTGGCTTTACAGTAATAAGTGGTAGTTTGTGTGTATTTTTGTGTATTCCATCATTCCTTTTTAATGCTTAATGTGTTGGCGGCTAACATACAGCATTTTGAAGTTTGCCAAATACTTTACATATATTATTACGTATATTTATGTATATTATTTCATTTGATCCTCACAAACCCCGTTAGTGAAGTGTTATTATGATCTTCATTTTATAGAGGAGGAAACACTTCTCACAGAGCAGTTACTTCAACTTGCACATCAGACTAGGAGAGGATAAATGACTCACTTAAGGGCTCACAGCCAGTCCAACATTACATGACAAAAAAGAGTCCAAGATGTCACTAGACCCCAATCCTCTGTGATTTAGTTGAGGGCTCATAGCATTAGATCATCCCAGAGAGACTTTTTGGTGACAGTAGTGATCCAGAAATGAATTACATTTCTGTAAATATGTAATTATAATTGATCTATATTAGAACACCATCTATGGTGGTTGGTTTTTCAAGAATGGCTTTTTAAAATTTTATGATTGTATCCATCCTACTTCTCCATCCATTATCCTTTATCCTTACTATGCCTCTTTTTCTGATTATATATTTCCTGAATGAAATCTTTTATAGCACTTCTTACACAGAAGCTGTCATTGGTAATATGCCTCAGCCTACTTATGCCCACCATGTATCTTTCCATTGAATGTTTACTATTAGAAAAACTTGTATAAGAAGATACATATTTTATGGTAGTAAAAAATTATTTTGGTCTCAGGCAACAAGAAATATTTTAACCTTGTTTTATCATCTGATCTTTTGGACATTCAGCAACAACCTGGATTAACCAGATCAAAATAACAGGAACTCTCGAATGAAAAATTTTTTCAACTATATTGCATTTTTAAGAGAGAGAAAAATGAGAAGAAAACATATTAATGCTAGACACTAACCAGAACTCTCTTCCTCCCCCCAGCCTTGTAAATGCAAAGTCTGCAGCAATTTTTAGAAAAGC